ACAACCATAGATTCTTCAGTGGAGATGAGGTGCTCCCAAACAGGCAGACATTAGATGTATTTTCTTGGAAGAGAGATATGTTATCAAGTGTTTTCCTAGATTAAGAACTGTAAAAGAATAATCGTTTGGACTGTTGCAGGCTGGAATAGGTCACAGGGAGGAGGTAGGAAAATAAGAGGCTGAAACAGTAAAAGCAGAATGAAAACACAGTTCCCACCCATGCTGATTAGAGAATGGCCACTGCAAAGGTCCCATCTGTATCGGCTCCTGCTCTGGCAGTATTAAAAATCAATGACACATCACAGAGGGCAGTGCTAAATAACAGGCTTAGTTTGGGGTATCCATGTGTGTGCACATGCAGATGTGCATGTTTGGGGAACATGAAAATCAATTCAAAACAAACATCAAAAAATGTTTTTGTTACCTTGCCACAGCAAACAAAATATTGTATTGATCTAGATCTTTCACTTGCCCCAAAAAGAAAAACTGACTTTTGGGCTTTTAGGATTCATAAAGGCAGAAGACTTAATTCATAAGTGTAGAAAAACTGTAACTTTTCTACTACTCAACAGTCCAGATGTTAGACCATGTTCATATTTTGGTTCCTGCCTCTGGCCACAAGATTTGAACCTGCATCTCACCCTACTGAGAAAGAGATCTAGTCATCATTTCATTCTTTAAGGCAAGCTGGGGTAACAGCACTAGCAATCCCTCCTAGCAATGCTGGTTTACTTTGCATAGAAAAATTCACTGGGAAAACGCCTGGAGACATTTAGATTCTCAGTCAAGTGCTCTAATCACCAGGATAGAGTAATTCTGCTTTTCCTGATCCCTATCTTGATCAGTATTTACACATGCCAAGCGAAACTTAAATGGTCAAAAGAAAGGACTGTTTCAGGAGAACCTCTTCTGTTTGTCAACAGTAAATGGAAGGTGGAACACTCGGATTTGAAATGCAGCTCTTATGAGATACAGGCTGCGTATGCAACACAGGATGTCACCACCTCTGCAATGCTCAGCTACGTGGTGGTTGGTTCACTCTGAAGCCCAACATTGACTAAAGGCAATGACAGCGAATTACAGAGCCTATTTGTCTCCATATAGCAATTCTTAAATTCTCCTCATGGTTGATGTAGTGATGGTGCTAGCTTTCCAAGATGTCCAGTGTCAGTGCTGATTAGAGAGCAGCACACGTCCTCTGACAGTAGTATCTACTGGACTTCTCTGCACTGAAAAGGACAGGGCTATATAACGACCACAGGGAGGAGAGAGATCAGGGTTAAGTGTTTCAGTACACAAACTCCAAGGAATAGGGCAGGCTTTCAAGAACTCAAGACTAATGAAAAAGAACAGCAATAAAAGAAGAGTTAGGCTGGATTTTACAAAAAGAAAAATCCTAAGATTGAGTTCAGACAGCAGAGCAGTTTCCTGTGGGAAGTGAAATCTTTATTGCCTAAGGCATTTATGCTACACTAGAAAATGCTACTCTTCATACAGTATGAACATTCACTAGCGCTAAGGCAGTAGATTAGATGACCTACTAGGTCTTTTCTCACCTCTAATTTCACTGATCCCATTAAATTGCTGCAAGAGGATACCAGGCTGTATCTGCTTCAAGACAGTAAGTGCAGGCTCAGAAAGACAATATAGCTGAGTGAATACCAAAACAAAAAATTCCAATCTTGCACTAGTACAACTTAACCCTTTAAAAATAACTGAAAAATCAGAAATGTGCTAACCATTAATATTTCAAGCTGAGAAGGGCCAAAAGCAATTAAAAACATCCCCTAGTTTTGCATGCCCATCTCATGACAGCTGTTTCATTATCTTCAGCCAAGACAGACTTGAAGACATTTGAAGAACCTGATTCTAAATTATAATTTTCCTCCCCAGCTCTTTGTTGTTCAATCCCACCTATCCTACTGTATTGGGTTTGTGCGGCAGGGTTTTGGTAGCGGGGAGGGGCTACAGGGGTGGCTCCTGTGAGAAGCTGCTGGAAGCTTCCCCAGCTCCAAGTCAGAGTTTCCTCTGGCCCAGGCCGAGCCCATCAGCGACGGTGGCAGTGCCTCTGGGAGAACAGATTTAAGAAGGGGAACCTGCAGCAGAGAGAGGAGTGGGATGTGAGAGAAACCCCTGTGCAGACACCAAGGTCAGTGAGGACGGAGGAGGATGAGGGGATGCCCCTGCAGCCCGCGGTGAGGCGGCAGGCTGTCCCCCCCAGCCCACGGAGGTCCTCAGTGGAGCAGATATCCACCTGCAGCCCGTGGAGGACCCCATGGCCGGAGCAGGTGGATGACCCCGAAGACGGCCGTGACTCCATGGGAAAGCCCACTCTGGAGCAGCCTGTGTCTGAAGGACTGCAGGCTGCAGAAGGGACCCACGCTGGAGCAGTTCCTGAAGAGCTGCCGCCCGTGGGAAGGACCCACGTTGGAGAAGTTTGTGCAGAACTGTCTCCCATGGGAGGGACCCCACGGTGGAGCAGGGGAAGAGTATGAGGAGGAGTCCTGCCCCTGAGGAGGAAGGAGCAGCAGAGACGACGTGTGATGAACTGACCCCAACCCCCATTCCCCGTCCTCCTGCGCTGCTGGGGGGAAGAGGGAGAGAAAATGGGGAGTGGAGTTGTGCTGGGAATGAGGGGGGGGGGGCGGAGGTGGTTTTACATCTCATTATCCTGTTTTGATTTGATTGGTAACAAATTAAATTGATTTTGTTTTTTACCCGAGTCTGGTTTTCGCCTGTGACCATAACTGGCAGGTGACCCCTCCCTGTCCTCATCTCAACCCACGAGCTTTTTGTTATATTTTCTCCTCCCCATCCCACTGAGGGGAGGAGAGAGCAAGCAGCCATGTGGTGCTTTGCTGCTGGCTGGGCTTAAACCACACCACCTAACATTGCCTCTTAACATATATGACAAGGGATGAAAGGAAGGAAAGGTACTAAACAAGGGGGTTAGGCTTCCCTGGTTGAAAGAAACAGGCTAAAGTAGCCCACACCTAATATCAGCTAAACCATAGCCCTATTTTGAGGAGGCAGCATTTCTTGGTATCAAGAATTTGATGTAAGAAATGGAGATGGCTGTGTATTTGTATGGCCTAATGTGGAAATTTGGGGCTAAAAATTGGCAACCCAGTCTCTTAATGAGGTCCTACAGCAAATGAGTGTCAGGGCAATCAGTAAGGCTGAGTGAGATGAACCACACATCTCTCTTTAGCTAGCTGTAGAAACCACCTCTTACAGAACTCTCCAATTTTCCAGATGATAATTTATTTTCAATTTGTAGCATGCACCCACAATAACCATTTGAATAACAGAAATGACATGAGAACCAATTGAAAAAAAAAGCGGACAAAACTAAACTCACAAAAGGAACTCTTCCATGAACAAAATTCCGGTTTACATCAGGCAGCTTCCTGACTAAACACTTGAACAAATAGATTGCCTTTACAACGTGAAAGCCAGCCTACTTTAGCTCTGTTGGACCAAGAAAGGGTGGGAGACAGAGTCTCAAGTAAAAGATGCTCCTGCTCCCAAGTCCCTTTATAGCCTCCTAGAAACCAGATTTAGGAACTCTTATTTCCATTGCAGCTACCAGGTTTGCTGCATTGGAAGGAAAGTTGGTCTCCAACATAGGTAAGACCCATTACACAGGATTTTAATATTATCCCGTCACCTTCAATTGCACTGTGAGCTGCTGGGACAACCAGAGGCTCACAAAACACAAGCTACATTTGCTCTCCCGTGAAAGACATCCTTAAACAAGTATGCTGATACTCCTACAACATCTGAAGCTTCTGGATGATTCCCACTAGCAGTTCTTACACGACCCCCCTGCTATAAAAACAGTCAGGAGACTGTTGCTAAAACTGAGGTCTGGGCAATGATGGATGTCCTCCTGCCAAGAGCTCCTCTCCACCCTTCAGCAAGAGAATCTCACCTAACCTAGCACTGATTTCACCCTGTAGTTGGAAAGTGGCACAGGAAAGTTAAGGGAACTGCTGAGTGCCAGGACTGCTCTCTGGCTAATCCAGAAATACCAGGTGAGGAGGTACTTCAAGCTATCACAATTTATCTGTTCTGGGGACTGGAGTTATTCCCAACAGCTGTTCTAGGCATATATTGTTTCATAACATAGATGCAATAGTAGCAGCTCCTATTTAAACCTTACAGTAAACCCATGCCTTTTTAAGGCAATTTTCTTCTTTTGATATTCCCTTTACATTTTTCCTTTCTCCCACTTCAGTTAAAATATATCAGATAGAAACCATTCTTACCGAGAATCCCTAACTTTCCTCTTCAGATTCTTCCAGTTTCTTGTGATTTCAGTGACTTCACACAGTTTCACCTTCATCTCCAATCTCAAGTTTTACATCCTAACTTCACATCTTCCTGCTCCCCCTTTTCCTACTCACATTCATGATCTTTTCTTTGCTGTTTTGTATGCTTGGGTCTTCCCTCATCCACTCTTACCACAAAAATAATCTCAACATTTACTTAGGCCCAGACATAAATAACCTACTTTCAGTTGTGAAATAATGTAATCATTTCTCTATCAAAAAACATCCACTGCAGAGAAGAATCTTGAAGTTGCTAGAAAAGAAGCCCCTCTCTGTATTTTCTCAACTGCTTAGACCAAAACCACAGCCCAGATCTTGGAGCCAAATGCATCAGTTCGTACATCGATGAAAGACTGCTGAATAGCAAACAGAATAAAGATGACAGCTGGCCGGGATGAATTAATAGAAGAAGAAATTAGAGGCTCCCCAGTTACGGTTTGGGGAAACAGAAACATCCCTCATCACACATCGACTATGGCCTTCTGGACACAAAAAAGGATGCTATCTGAAATTATTTGATAGCCTACACTTCAAGTCCCGCAACACTGGAAAGCGGAAGGATAGCTACAAGGAAGAAAGAATGAAACAAGAACAGACAGTGAGGGACTGCAGCCTACTTAAAAGAAACCTTTTTTTCTTTTTTTTTTTTTTATGATGGAACATTACCTGAATTCCTTATACTGGAGCTGTTCAGTTTGGAATCTTTGATGACCAAGTGCTTAATCCAAAGGGTGGGTGCCGTGATTTCTGAAAGAGAAAAAATAACTACCTTAAAGAAACTACAGCAACTACTGAATACACATGGTTGTTACTCATGAGGACAAGATGTTTGCTACAATCATGCCTTAACTGATCCATCATCTTTGTAGAGATCAGGTCATCCCCTGGTGAGGTCTTCCACCTCTTATGAACCACTATTTGTAAATCTTCCACAAGGTTATCTCATTATCTTCCTGTTCCAGAGTACCTCTCTGCCAGCAAAACATTTTTATTCCCCTCCCTCTACCCCCCACTTCCTAAATTATCAAGTCTAAAGCCTTTCTCCTCAACACAAAGCGATCTCAAAGGTTATGTTCTGTGCTATAGTATATATTGGTTTCCAGATTAAAAAAAAAGTCAATTCAGACCTTAAATATTGCTTTAACAGCCCAAGAAGAGCTGACCACAGTCAGTTCCCTAAAACAAGCAACAACAAAATCCGAAATAAATAGGCAGAGAAATGAAGATATTTCTGGAAAGACTTAAAAGGAAGTCTGTTAAAGAAACAAGTTCTTCTTAGAAAAGCATGTCTGATGCACTACAACCAAGACATCCAAACATAAATTTGTGGGAAAAAAAGTGCTTAGAGCACCTCCTCCGAGGTGTTACAATCAACTTCAAAACACAGCAGAACTTGCCCTAAGCCACAGAAATGACACAACATTAGCACTTGATTAGAACTGAGCAAAGCAGTACTCGATACCATGGGCTAGACCTCCTAAAGTGACATTTTCAGAACCGATATTTTCTTTAAAAATTTCAGTTTCCACAAAAGCATGCCTTTAATACTAGATCCTGGAGTTTGTCTTAAGTTCCTCTAAGAAGTTTTTAGAAGAGTTTTCCTGCTCCCTTGTTGACATTTACATGGATCTGCTCAGCAAGGGAGAAGCTGGCTGACTGCAAGAGAAACTGATTACACATTATAAGAGCATGAAGGAAAAATGAAAGAGAATTTTTCCTTCCTAAATGTTTTCAGTTACATTGATTGTAGGCATTATTGTAATCATGTTCAGGGCATTTTTTTCATATGGAAATATAGGCTGAACACTGATATTCCAGCAGTAGTAAAAGTTTGCTAAACAAAGATTGCCATATCTACTGGTTTCACTACACTATTTCATTGTCACTCAGTGATGATGTGCTCCTATAAATACATATTCCCATAGACTTTGGGCCTTTGGGGGGGAGAACTACATCAAATTAAACACCGAGTGAGAGGCAGAAAGGGGGAAAACACAAAAGTAGAAAAAGTCCAAAGTGCTAGATGCAAACTCCTAAATCTGGGATGAAATTTAGCTCTGACTCTGTATTGTATGGACTGGGTTTGTCTACAGCTGAAAAACGAGGGACAACCAAAGTCAATAGATGACAAAGAACGGGTCAGGGCCTTTAGAGACCCAACAGTGCATATCTTTAAATGAGATTGAAAGGTGCAGGAAAAGGAATTGTCAGAAAAGAGGAGAAAGGAAAAGAAAAGGAAATGAATCCTTTGGAATCTACCATAAAAATGTACTTTCCATCCACTTAGCCTGGACATTTTTTGGAATACAGGTAAGCAACACAGACTCCTCTGAACAACAGATTTGTGGAAAGAGTAGATTCCCACTGAGTTAAGAGGTGAAGTTTACCAAAAAGAGAAAATGTTTAAAGAAATTATTCTTTAGGAAATGAATACAACTTGTACATTGAAACTAAATAGAGGGTGCATGCAAAGAAAACAGAGGGGGGGAATAAAATTTTTTTAATTTAAAACCATAGCAAGGACCATTAATAAAAAACTCTTCTGCAGAGGAGAATCTTGTCCTAAGAGGAGATTCACTATAAACATTGCTGAGATCTACATTGTAATGAAGTGAAATAATTTTTAAAGAGATGGCTGCTTTATGATTCAAACCTTGGACAGGAGAGTTTAAGTTATCTGATCTACATTATCTCTGGCACTGCTCTGTTATGCCCTCAGGCAGGATAGTAGGGAGTGGGAGGGGAACTTATTATGCCCGAAATGTGAATTTTCATTATCCTCTAATGTAGGTGAAAACATGAGAAAGGTGAACCTTCATCTTGGAGATGTTGAGGTCCAAGAAGTATCACACATTTCAGAGGCAGCTGAGTGTATTTAATGCCCTTTGAAAAAAGTCAGCCCCTTGTGGATTGAAGGTAGGCACCCAAAAACAAAGCATGAAAATAAATTCCACATTTTTATTATCCATTCACGTTGCTATCAGCTCTACCCTGGTTGCCTGACTTTGAATACACAGGTTTTCAGGAGCTCAGCAGATCTCAAACCCACTGAAATTGAATGGTATTTGGACTTTAACTCCTTTGAACACCTATGAAGAGTCCAGACCTGACAGGTGAATGGAGAACTGTTTTGCCCTTTTCTGTCATCTGACGTGTGTCAGACACCAAGTACAAGCCATTCCTCAAGAAGACCTACCCAAGACACTGGGAGAGTATTCTAGTGAAGTATCATGACATGTTTGCTCAGACAGAATCAAGGGATTGTTCAGGATGACATCCTGAGGTGTCTAGTCCAACCTTGTCCTCCAGACAGGTTCAGCTACAAGAAAAGATCAGGTTGCTCATGGCTTTATCCAACTGGCTCGAAACAGAAGGACAGAATATCGCCTCTCTGGGCAATCTGTTCCACTGCCTCATTGTCTTCACAGTGACTAAGTTTTTCCTTACATCCAGTCCAAACATTTTGTTTCAGTTTACAACTGTTGTCTCTCATCATGCATTACTGTGAACAGCCTTCTTGATAAACTTCCCTGTAGGTATTGGAAAGCTGCTATTAGGTCCCCTTTAAGTCTTCTCTTCTCCAGGCTAAACGCTTCTTACTCTCTTCCTGATGTACCCACTTTAAGCTACTGTTGGAGACAGTACGCTCAAAGGTGGTGGATTACACAAACTTTTGGTCAGACCCAGAATGGATTTTCTTGTGCTTAGTGCTACAACCACCACTGAAATCTAGTTAGTCCTATTTTACTAAGAGGGATGACAAAAACAGAGAGTGACAAAATTAGCAGAGGTTATTCATTGATGCATAGCTTGATTAACCTGCCTGTCATATTCTCTTCTCCCAAGTCATAAGGGACCCTGCTAATACAACAGGAAGCCATTGCATTACTCATTCTCTCGAGAAGTCTAGGAGATAAGGTCTTGCATAATGTATTGCAAGATTTGTGAAGGGCAATCTTTCACTGTACAGTCCAAGCCCATTTATAAGACTTGATTTCACCTACAAATCAAAGCGAAGGGTTTTGATTGAAAATGTTTTTCATAGAAGATAGGATAAGATTTTTTTCAGACTCTGCCTGTCACCAGAAGGACCAGAAAAGGTCTGTTCACTACATCATTTCTCAAGAACTTTGCCCAGTTCTATTTGAATGACCAAAACGTTGAGTTTCTCCTAGAAGGAGCTTCTGAACGGGCTGTATTAACCCGATCAGCTCACTCCTGCATTTTACTAGTGCATTCATTCCTTTGAATATCTATGGGCACCCTCTCAGGGGAAAACTTAAAGGCCAGAAGTTTGTGATTACAAACAGCAATTTAATACAACATCAGTTTGCTGCCAGGCGGAACTTTCTTTTGATATAAACAAGAGATAGTCAGCAAGGCTTCAGTCTCCTTTGTTTATTTGAGAATGCTTTTTGCTCTGAGGGCTTTGCTTTGTTTCTTAAAGCTCACAAGAAGATTCTTACAAACCCACAATCACTAAATAGAGGTGACAGGACTACAGTATCTTGCCATTAAATAAGCTTATTTTAGCAACAAACCCCCCCCACCTCATCACCTGTTTTTACAAAGCAGCAGGAGTTAACAGCACTACCTACTCTTGCTCAGTAGTCTCCATTTCTGCCTTTGATCGAGTTTAAAAAAAAAAAAAAAAAGAGTGTCACATACAGCAGCTGGGTATGAAAATGCATAGGCTTTCCCTCACTGCCTTATGGTCCACAGTTTCAGATGGGTCACAAGAGTGGTTCGGACTTCAGCCCATAGCTTGACTATAATGGTTGTGGATTTAAATCTGTAGAAAACATGCACTACTAAGCAACATGCAAGATATAAGCAGCTGCTAATAGGCCCATTCGCTACCCAAGGACCACTATCCCCACTAGTATTTATGTTTGTACGTGTAAAAGGCTTGAACCCTCTGTGATGACAGCCATTTTATCGTTGTTTCAAGGCTTCCAAGGGACTAAGGTCTGATATTCCCTCTCCAAAATAATACAACTGCAAGATCAGCCCATTTGAGAAGGAAACTGCCTTGGTGGGCTCCGAATTAAGTGGGCCCAGGACACTGACTTCATTTGCTTAAATAGTATGTGCGTCAATGAAAGTAATTGCTAAATAAAGAAACCTCCCAGCAATTTTCTTCCAAGTCAACATTCACAAGCTGTGGTTTAGCACTACCCTCCCTTTCATGAAGCTCTAACGCATTGCAGAGGTTATGAAACTGCCAGCATTGGTATCATGAGGGTGGAGAGAATAAGGGGGTAAGGACAGTCTAAAGAAAGTTACCATTTCTGACTTGATGCACACTTTTTTTGCCGTGACACCTTTTCCTCTAAGGTTACCCCAGGAATCTGGTCAACTGCTGTTATTGTTGGATTCCAGGGAAGAGGGGAGGATGTAAAAGGATTAGGGAAAATGCCTGAGGTCCCAAGGGCACTGTGAAATTTGGATAACTTATGAGATTCACCAGTTTTTCTGCTTTGCAGGATAAAGAAAGCATTTGAGCCATAAATCCTAGGGAAAAGGGAGAGGGAAGTAGCTTTTCTTTGTTGTTATTTTAAGGGATGCTCTTACCTTCTCCATCGAAAATAGGCTGGGTTTCCATTGTAGGCGTTGGCTTCGAACCGTCATCTGAATTGAGGGTTAAAAAGAATCGAAAAGAAACTACCATTATTGAGGTAAATACTATCTACTCTCCAGTACTGTTGAATGATTGGGATTTGTACATGGCCCGGCCAAGTCCAGAAGAGAGAGAAGACAGACAGAACGAAAACAGTTTACACTAACAGCAGTAACATTTAACATAGCAAGCATGCATCAAGCACTATCCTTAGACTTAAAAGAAGCCTCCCCACCTCCCTCCCCTCTCCCTCCCCAAACCATTGGTGTGCATCACCTGGCAGTCTCCCCTTGTTGCACTGATCAGGCAATCACCTTTTTTGTTTCAGGTGGCTATATATCCCACACAGGTCATTTCCTGAGATAGCAAAGGTCTGGAGATTGCTGTCCCACTGTGTCTTTCTCCTTATTCTTTTTGTTCAAAAGAAAAACTCTTCTTCTGAAACTTACCTGTGCAGAACCTGGCACCAGCATTCACTGAAGAGCTGTTAGAAAGGGATGGCCAATAGCAAATCTTTTTTCTTACAATGTCTGCATCAAGGTGTTCTCTAATTGCAGTGGTGTGGCAGTGTCTTCTAATTGCAAAATCATGGAAAAAGAACTTCTCTTGCATTAGTTTTTTTGTGTGCAAGAGCTCTCCATGTCTTCTGACCACAAGTCTTTCATAATTAAAAGAGTCAACAAAAAAAGATTCCACAGGAAATATAAATCTCAATATTCAGAGATGGACCACAGGGGAAAGTGTTCAGTTTACACTCTCTTTGGCTTAGTATGCCTATCCATCATACGTACAGGCCCGGCTTGGATTCAGGCTGAGTCTAATTTCCCCAGTGCTCAGAAGGATCTGGATTTCAAGCCCCAGCTTGGAGCATCTTTACATAGCACTAGAACAGTGGCATAGCTTTAAGTGAGGCAAAACTTTTGATTGTGGGCATGCTAAACTGGAACAAACTGTAGAGGAATGTCTTTTGTTACATTGCAAGATTAGAAAATAGAATATTGCATTCTATTGCATTAGAAAACAGAATATAGAATATGGGATCTAAACTAAGATGAGATTAGCCTAGAATTGCTTTTCTTTTCCTTTTTGGAATACAGTGACTTTTAAAACTTACAATTTGTAAAAACTACTTTTTGCATATTTTATAGGCAAAGATGACACTAGGCATCAGCAAGGTGGGCGGTAACCTAAAATGTAAAGTTACCCAGCAAAAATCAGGAGGGAGGAGTCCATTCCAGAAAAGCCAGGCTTGCCACCATCTCCACGACAATCAGATGCACAGGGCAGACAACATTTGAAGGAAAGATGCTTGGGACATCCCCTCCTAGAGGTAGCAATAACTGCCCTCAGCCTTCCCTTATATTAGTTCCGATTACAAAAGTAAGAGACCATTGGAAAGGGAAAAGAAGGGCAGAAATGGAAAACAGAGGCTTGTAGACTATTTTTCCACCCATACTCGATTTGCAGTTTTATAAACTGAGCAAAAGCCTGAACACCTCTTCCACAGATCATTAATTTCATGCATTTCCACAGAAAGCAATCTAATTCACAGAAAGCAAAAATGTGCTGGTAATTCCATTTCAACCTCAGAGATCCACTGAAGTAAAGGAGGTTGACAGAAACAAGCAAGAGAGACCCTGCTGTCATTTTCCCTCTTTGTCATCACTTAACTGCAAGCAAAGCAAAAAATATTTGAAAGAAAAAAGACTTACCATTCCTCAGTCAACTCTTGTTCTGAGTTTTCCTGTTATTAGGTATTACGAGTAACATGGATAAGCAGTATTTTTCTTTAAAAGTTTGAGCAACTGATTTCTTGGAAAAATTCCCTGAATTTTGCTTACTTTATAAGAAGGAAGATTTTGCCCTTTAAAGAATCTTTGGATAAAAGTAAATAGTTGATCTTCACTTTTTTGTCAGAATAGGCTGCTCTGCTTCTGCAAGATCCTAGAAACTACAGCTATGGGTTGTTATTTATTTAGGATGGCACTTCACACTTTAATGAAGCAGTGAGCAATATGTAATCAGCATGATTTGCTTTACAGATTGAGAAACCAACCCAAAACTGCAAAAGATACTCATAGAACAACTGGAAAGGTGAGTAATTCTCAAGTTCTATAAAATAGAAGAGACCTGGCACAAAAAAAAATTACCAGTATGATAAGTTTATTCCTACTGTTCTCATGAATGCTTCTGCACCAAGTAATTACAAAATTGCTTTTCAGATTTAAAGCAGCAACCCAGAAGCCAACGATGGACAAAAATTAAAAGTGGATCTGAGCCACAGCACTTTATCCAAACCATTATGTGAACTTTGGCAGAACTCGGGACGCTTCACGTTCAGGGGGTTTCTTCTAGGCTCGTGTGTGTGTGAAGAACAGAGACAGTAGCAATTACAATTTGGGAAAGACATTCTTCTTAAAGAAAGAGAATTTTGTAGCAGTTTTTGTATAAAGTTAGCCATTAAGCTACTGAAGAGTATTAAACAGTGACAGAATAAATGCAGCAAAACCCCCAAATACCAAACTAACCTTTGAACTGAGGGGTTTAAGATAATCTCAGTAAAATGGCTCTGAGCTACACAATCATTTCCTCACTGGGTTACTAAGGCCAAATTGTCACTAAGTCCACATTGTAGCAGCACCCAGTACAGTATTAAGGGTTTTGCAAATAGAGGGAAGTATAATTACTCCCCTGTTGTTCAAGCAAGTACAGTTCTTTCATCACACATACAAGAAAAAATACAATAGACAAGAGCCCTGTAATTACATTCACCATATTTCAAAAATCAAAAGCCAGGGATATTTCTGATTATTTTTTTTAAAGGTCATGAAATAGTCACATAAAAGACAAAAATTGCACTTTATTAAAAACACCATGCTCACTTCCCAGCTGCCAGCTTCCTACTCTGAAACTACCAAATCTACTTCTTAAACTGGAGAATTCTCAGTAGGTCTCAGTGTTTTAAATTAGCTTATGGCAAGAAGTTTCATTGCCGTTGCCTTTGGGCAGAACCACCACCCTAATACTTGTCTACTCTCATTTGATTTTTCCTCTCACTCAATACACTCTTCATCACTCCGAACATTTGTTCCACTGGCCTGTTTGCTCCTGGTAAACAAGGAGTAAGTTCTATTTTACATACCTGAAAGTTTTGAACAAATATTTTGCATTCCTTAAAGAAGCATTTTAACATAGAACAGAAAAACCAAGCTATTTCAGAGACCTGGGGTCTCCTGTGATATTATATGAGATGTACAGGATATTGTTGCTTTGGAGCCAAAGGTAATGAAGCGCGTTCATCAGGTACAATCTACTCCTTTCTTCAAAAAGCTATTAAATTCCACACTTTTCCAAAAAGGTGTGTAACTGCAATAGTTCCTCATGCAGAGCATGTCACAGAGGGATCAAAGAGGTCAAGTGCTTCCTAATCCCTCCAGATGGAAATGCTTCCAGATCAGAAACTCACGTACTGCAGAACCATCAAAGATAATTTCCCTTGGTTGCAGAATATTCTCAAAGCCTTGATGAAGAGTGCATTGGCATCCTTCCCTTCCATGTTTTACAACCCAACATGAATACCCACTTTTTTTTTTTCCAAGACAACCACTGAATACAGACAGCATCACTCAACAGAATACCTCCCAATGGGACATTGTTTTAAAGCCATAGAACTCCTTTCCAGTAAGCCTCCTTTTCCTAGGGTACACTTGAAAAAGTTGAACTGATTTTTCTGGCTCAATTGGTGTCAACTTAAAAAATGGTATTTTAATCTTATCACTGGTAAGAGTGAAACAGGCAGGTCCAAACAACTCTCCCTAAACCATTTTCACATTAAGACACCATGGCTATAAGCCAGAAGCCCACTTGCACTACTACTGTCAGAGACTCATAAGCTTAAGAACAGTTTTTGTTGCGTTAGCCTGACAATAACTCAAACCAGCAACAATTACTTGCGTGTCCAGATCTACTGCCAGTGGTGGGCAATAACTCTTTATGCTCCCACTAGGACCCCCCTTCCTTAACCTTATCCTTGCAGAATATCTAGCAAGCATCCACATCTGGAATGACTGTAGTGTACACTGGGCTTGAGGGACAAGGAGATTCAGTTCCTGTAAAAGATGACTGTTAAAGCGATCTTTTTACTCTGAAGGACAGTCACTGAGGCCATGAGCAACTCGAGTTATGTCAAGAGAGAAGTAAACTCCCTGACATAGAAAGAGCATAAATTACTATGGAAGAATGTGAAGTAACTGCCTGCTGCTGTGAATCACTGTTCTTGCCTCAAGCCACCTAACAGAAGCTGGAGAAAGGGGATAAGTTAGGTGATTTAACCTCCCATATCACATCTCCTACCCAGGAAAATACACCCACTGCAAAAGTCATCTGTATACTTGCATCACCTCGTTAAGAGACCAAGATCTATAGTCTTCCTAAGCAACCTCAACCTTAGGTACATCACTTGTGTGTTCTCACTGGAATCCATGAAACACTCTGTAAACATTTCTACCATTTTAAAGAGTGCTAGTGTTTATGGGGTCAACCATCAAGGCCCTGTACAAAATCTAGTCTTTTTTGTAAGTCTACATTGACAGTTCCCAGGCTTTGAGTCAGCCTGACAGAATAAGAGGATGACAATTTTAAGTGCATAGCTCTGCCCTGGGAGGAGGCAGCCTTTTTCCAGTGTCAAGTGGTTCCTCCACTTACCATCATACAGTTTGGGGTGAGCAATTACAGAGCATAACTGAAGCTAAATAGGGCACAGATAGCCAGGACAATGAGTGAATTCTTAGCATGTCCTGTTCAATGCAGCAAAGCCCACCTTTAGTGAGTGTCAAACCAATGGTAAGGGAGAAGAGCTTTCCTAGACTCCTGAGGGATTTAAGTCATACATACATCTTTCTGTGGCTTTAGTAACTCTGGTCAGATGCAACAAAGACCTGCCAGGTCAACTCAAGCTCCCTGTATCTGTGCAGTTCCTGAATCTTGAAGATGCAATTTTACAACTTTGACA